TAGAAAGTAGAGGGCGTGAGAATAGTCACGTGATCTCGATGACGCAACAATACTATTAGACTATAAATTATTAAATCCTATTCCAAAAGTCACAAAATTCGTTATTTTCGTTATTATTCTCAAATAATATAATTAAAACGTGATCTTTTTATTAGCTGGAGGCATGAATTATTTCAAGGAATTTTTGTAGGCAATTATTTATACTAAAGTTATAGACCACAATTGTCCCAAGATTTTATAACGACAATATTGACATTAAGATCTTTCTTGTCATCAGTTCACAGCAAAAAATAAAAGAAAATAGTATCAGCTTCACTAATTTATGGTATCTTTCTACACGAGACAACCATGAACTGTATAACAGGGGTAAACCGTAACGAATTTGTTCTTTTCTTATAGCTTACCTTGTCTTTTTCGTAACATATCGCTATTTATACACTGTAGAGTATAATCGTTAGTGTCAATTGCTTGTTGCTCTAACACTCTTTCAATTAATACATCGTTCTCAACATATTAAGATGTATATGTTAATTCTGGTTGTTATAACTACCACTACTTTTTCACTGCTTCATTATTTTAAGAATGATCTGTACTTAAGATTTCTAGTATTTCAAGCACCAAGGTGTAGTAGTGCTATTTTAACTATTGCATGGCCTATTATATAATTTGATTGTTTTGAGAAGGTGGTCTTATTTGTATATGTGTTGCTGTGGAAATAATATTAGAAATAAAGCAATATTTATCCACATAGATGTTTTTCACAAATAATTTGAAAATAAAATTTCTATACAATGAGTTTTGTGTTATTCACATACTCATTACTCAATTGCAAACTCCGCGTGTCGTCGCTAAGTGACGAGTTTTTTTACATATATTCAGGTTACTTGGAGGAACCTTAAAACATTTTAATAACCTATTCAAGGCACATAGTCTTTAGTTCATCTTAAAAAATTGGGTTAATCGAACAGATTTTAAAGACATAAAACTTAAACCTGTAAGGAATCCTAACTAGATAGTTTCAATCCACGGCACTGTATTCTTAGATATAATTGAGAATTTCGTTAGGATTTTTGTGCTTGTTTGTCGTTAAGTGCAAAGCTACACAATGGGCCTACCTATGCTCTGCCCACCGCGAGTATCGAAACCCGATATTTAGCGCTGGAAGCGTTCAGGCTTACCGCTGAATCACCGGTAGGCCATTTGCCTATGAATAATGAATAAAACTAGTTATATTCAAAGGGAAGCAACTTGAACATTAAAATGAACTTAATTAATACAAACCTATATTAAGGAAAAACTGTCTATTTGTTCGCTATTTTAAATGAGCTTTTTGTTATGACATTTATTATTAGAAGGGCCTATGAAATTGGCACACAGTGAATAGAATGCTATATATGGTAATTCTTATTTAACCTAGAAAACGCGTGTGCAATATTTTCATCCTAGTTTTAAGTTTGAGTGTAACTCTTGAATTTTAAGTATGAAGCATACCTATTTTATCTTCAAATTGAAGTTTTTCTGACCGTTTCAATAGTGGGAGAAAAAAGATTGTTTGTTTGTTTTAGCGCAAAGCTGCACAATAGGTTATCTACACCATATTCACAACGGGAATCAAACTCCAAATTTTAGAATTGTAAGCCTTCGGGAAATGGGAAGAAAGAAAACAAATAACTGGACTGCATAAGGATATACGATTTTGATAGTTACAATTATGACGGGTTTGAGTGAATGTTTATACATTTCCAGAAATAATTATCATTTTTTACTCTTACACGAAACTCTAATAAAGTATTATAAAAAATACGAATTTATCATATTCTTATTCTTTATCCAGAAAACTGACATTTTGTTTTCATTGCTGTAAATAGAAAGTTGGGGTATGTGCTAATCCTGAATAAACAAATGTGAAATGGGCAGCAACTACCTAGTTTGGAGTGGCACCTGTAGAAAAAGTCTTCGATCATTAATCTACAAAAGTAACTAAGGTATAAAGGACGACGTTTCGAAAGGCCTCCGTCTACGCACTAATCCATTTAATAGAGAATAATGTTAGTCACACCTTAAATTTTTACCCGAAAAATATTTTCGTGTTTAGAAATGAAGCTTTGTTATTGACTCGATAAATTTAAAACATTTCTCAAATACAAACAAGTCTGCTCTGCGTCTTATATTACAATCGTCCATTGAAAAATAAAAGTATTGCTTTACCTTTTAGTTAACTATCATCTATTTAACAATACGCTTGTTTTATGTCTTAGATTACTACTGTATACTAAAAACATGTTTACTTTATGTCTTACCTTACGACTATCTATTAAACAATATCATTGATTTACATCTTATGTACCTTGCTATTTTATATTCAACAACACCTTGCTTTACGTCTTACCTTTCTGTTGTGGTGTATGCAGGTAAAATTTATTATTTCTAGATCAATGGAATGTGGTTGCTGACTATCAAGAAATAAAAAAAGATACCTTTTACAGGGTAATAACGTATTTTTTTGAATACTCGAGTTCGTGAAGATGAAATAGAGACTGTACACAATGTAAAACACAAAAGTTCAATTCTTATTATAACAGAACACAAATACCTTGTGAGTACTTACTTAGACAATGGACGCATCTACTGGATCAGATCTATTCTCTCTCCAAAAGTGACTAAAAAGATGTCATCTGTAAGGCTGTTTAAATTCAACATTCCTTACTTCGTAGGTAACGTCAGATTTACCCAGAACGACCAGCATTTCCAACGTGACTGGTGTTACGTATTACAATTTCGAAAGGTCTGAAACTGAGTTAACTGATAATTTAAATTTAGTAGTTAAATATACGCCAATATATCTTCAATTTATTATATTTGCCAACAAGATTGATACACACAGCTTTCTATTTTTTAACGCAAATATGTTTTAATATACAAACAACAACACAATTTACAATAACTGTTATTACAAATAGTTATTACGCACAATGATTTATATACAAAAAATTACAAACTTACAAGCAAAATAAAGTCTTCTTTCTAGTCTGGAACTTCCTTCATATCGTATTGATATTTATGATCTTCCTTCATATCGTATTGAGGGTTCACGATGAGCGAGTTAATTACGAGTTGATGTAGGTACGACTCGCTTAACGGGGAGCTAGCTAGATTTGTCCTTCGTTATTCACCAGCCATCCACGCCGAGTTTTCCACCGTGAAGTTATATAATGTTTTCGTAAAAATACTAATGTCCGATGAGAATCCACTGAGGTTAAATGATTTGTAATGTTTGAACTTTGTAAATGCTCCTGGTCAAATATCTGAAGTTTTCCGATTGATAAGCATTAATCACAATTATAGTTATAGCTTCCGAAAGTTATAGCACACTGACTATAGCAAACTAATAATATATACTCTTTTTTTGGCGCGTCGCATTGGTTATATTTATAGGCGCATGGAGAGTTTCTCGAAACTTCAGATTACGTAACAATCCAAAGCTACATTA